ACACTTATCTAGGGGAACGTTCTACTGAATTCACTGTCACATCTCAGCAGATTCACAGGATTGCACTGTTCATCCAGAAGGACAATTTGGTAGTTATATTCCACCAATTTATAATTAACCTCCCTATAAAAATTGAGTAGTCAGATTTCAGAAACACGTCTTTACCAAAGGGTAACTAGGTGGGGTGGCCAGGTCTTTTTTCTTCTTAGCGATACCTTTAAAGTCAATATCAGCAAAAGCAGTGAGACAAACTTTGTGAATAGGATGCATGACATTCAAGAATTATGTAAATAAAATACATCTCTCCCTTGATCTAGTATTAGGGACTATTATAAGATCAAACCAGTTGTTTTTTTGTTTTTGTTTTTTTAAGAAAATGTTAATCTAAAACTCTGCCGTCAAATTTGGAAAGACAAATGATGAAATATTCTGCTTACTGAAATTTCTTGAAAAGCTCATTTTTAAAAGAATTCTTATACCCTAACCTTCCTCCAAAATGAGCACAGAGAGGATTCCGGTGTTAATAGCATTTACGTACATCACACCAAGAAAATAAGAATTTGTCTTTAAAACATCAAAACCAACAAGGCATGAATCAGATGCTTATGTTAAGAAAAAGGCCTTTAGGGGCAGGATCCAGGGTTCGAGGCATCCGGTCCAGAGCAGCAGGAGGACTGGAGGACCTTTCTTGATCCCCCTGCACCACTGGACACCCATTTTCAGCCCTCTCGATGTGGTACTTCAGTGGAGGAAAGAAGGCTGGAGCAGCACTGGGAGACTTTGTATCCTGGCTGCCACGGTTCCCTCCCTCCCTCCCTCCCCACCCCCAAAACTCCCCCAAAACTCTTATTTACAGATTGGATGGTTTAGAAGACTCTGTGCAGTAAAATCGTTGTTCTGCCAAATGTTCTGCCCCCCTCCCCCGCTTATTTGTGGTCCTTCCTATCTGTACTGTCCTGACCACAGGAAACCACCAGCCTGACCATGGGGATGTTCAAATGCACCAAACACAAGCTTGCGAACGTTCTCCAAATTCCACCTTGAGGCTTCTTCTGACTTGCAACTGTTTCAAATTGTGAGCTTTGGTTTGGTGTTTGGTCAGATTTGCTTTTTGCATGAAAATCTGTATGTATTTCCCTGCATATTTTTCAAAGTGTATGCATCAACTGCACGCATCTTTAAAATGTATGCATCCTTCTTCCATTCATTAAAAAGGATTCATGCACAATTTTTAAAAGTATGTATTTTTCAGAGGTATGCTTACTATCAAATCCTTTTTTTTCCTGCCTTTTCTGCATGAATCACACTGCAAGCTCAGATTTATATGGTTGTCAACCACAGTTTGCATACAAATCTGTGTTTAGTCTGGAAGGTGCTAACTGGATAAAATCCTGATCAAAAATGAGCCGAGAATGCAATCCTATAGCAATGATCATAAATCTGATCACTGTAAACCTCCAATCCAAATTTGGAGGTTTACAGTGGGAAGTGGTGGGGAGCAGCAGAGAGGATCTCCCCTTTAATTTGATTTGATTAATTTGATTTATAAAACCACCTCCAATAGTTCCAACTGGGACTCTCCTTCCCACCCTTCTGCCCAGAACCTTGGTGAGAAGGCTTTTTGCTCATATAATGACAGCGTTTTAAAGGAGTCTGGGGAGGCCACGGCCTAACTTGCATCCTGGCCTCTCTAGTTTCCTCCTCATCCCGCGCACTGGAACATTCCCTTCACCCCCTCTCTGAGGTCACTTTCCCAGTCTTGGAAAGCAGCTGCTACAACTTCTGCACTGGCTGTGAATGGGAGAGTGAGCTGGAGCCCCAGTTCCCAGCTCTGGGGAGCACAATCGGAGCGCTGCCTCCAGCCTTGGATCTGTAACCTGAAATACCCTGTGGCTCTTCAGACCCTGTCCAGGGGCCCAAGGATTGTTCTCTAAAATGTATTTCTCATACATCCCTAAATATGTTACGAAGTTCATTTGGACTAGGAAGGCTAAAAGGCAAGTGAATCTGGCATATTTACAGGATAGAGTCAGGAGCAGGCAATTAGCTGTTCCAAACTGTGTATTTACTACCTTTCATCACACTTAGCAACAGCAAGGGGATGTTGGTTTCTGATAAAAAGCAAAGAACTGGGACACTAGGTTGCTAAAAAAAAAAATCCCTTCCTCTGAACTGTTTATTATGGTACCATAAGATAGAGTCAATTTTAAAGAAAGTAGGCAATCCTTTACTATCAGCCCTATAGAAGGTGTGGAGGATGTATAATCCTAAACATAGCCTCAAAACTCACCTTTAGTGTCTGCTCAATATTTATAAGGAGACACCTGATTTAGGACTGATAGAGAATTTAAAATGATTGGGGTGCTATAATTTTATTATGAGGCAATATCTTATGGGTAATGGATATGACATGTTGTAGTTAGCCTTGCAAGAAGACCTTGTTGGGGGAGCAGGGGGCTCAATATTTTCAAAAATGATCATTGCTAAATACACTGTACTTGGAGGGAGGAGTCTAAGCCATCCAAACAGCTGGCTCTGGATTGGTTTCTCCAATCTGGTGTCCAGCAGCTGTCTTTGACTTCAACTCCCATGATCCCCAGCCCATACAGCTAGTGATTAGAAATGTTGGGATTTGTCACCCAAAACTTCTGAACGTCACCAGCTTGAGGAAGAAAGGCCTGGTAGGTGAGTGCTTCATGGGAACATTCACTCTTGAGCTGTTCACTCTTATACTGTTTTGGTGTACTATGTTGTGAACAGTATATATATATTTTACTATATACACTTCCTATTTTAAGGAGCATTTCTCATTTTTGAGCCAAGTCTTTTGCACTGAAGGTTGAGTTTGAATGATTTGGTTATTCTTCTGCACTGTCCTGCAGCCTGCCCTGCATCTCCTACTCTAGGCTGCTGTTCAATGATGTGATGGAGTTCCTTGTTCCATCACCAGCACTGAAGGAGGTCACCCGCCTGCCCAGTTGGGGTCTCTGCATGGAATGAGATGGAGTTCTATCTTCAATTCAGGCAGCAGAATGTCTGGGGCCAACCCTCTGCCCTGGGTCTATATGCCTACATTTGGAAGCCTGTCCCATTGCCCCCAAGAAGAAAACCAACCTTGGTGACACAGGTTTGGAAACCGCCTTGCAGAGTGGATTTGTTTATATAGATAAACAAAGATGCGTCTGTGCATATACATATGTGTGCACGTATGAACCATGTGTATTCAAGGTTGTAAACAAAGGACCTTTTTAAAATATCTTCACTTCACTGAGCATCAGAAAAGAATTCAAGGTCATTGGAGACAATAATTGGAGCATAATAGCTGAAGATGAATGACAATGGATTTGAGCCAGTGTGCCCTCAAATGTAGTCTAGGGGAATAGAAAAGAAAATGTCTATCAAATTTTCTGACTGGTACCTGACAACTTTTAAGAAACTGTTTTGTGTTTAATTAGTTCAGCTAATTGCAAGAGGTCTGGCTCCTTCCTGGCTCACATTATTCATATTTTGTGGCATCTTCCTGAAATAAAAATATACTGGCAGGCAAGGAGTAATCTAGTTTATTTAAAATATTACTGATTACTGATTATTACTGCTGGTTCCACACGTGATTCTTTTTTGCAACAAATGTAGAAAGGTTGAGACCTGAGACCTCGAGTTTGTTATTAACCTTTTATGTGCAACCAGAATTAATTTGGCAACTAACTGGAAAAAGGTGACAGAGCCCAAGATTAACAACTGTGTGGAAAACATCTGGCAATTTGCCAAAATGACTAAACTGACAGATTATATTAGGGTTTTGGGAAGGGTGCCAGTTAGATAATGTTTGTAGAACGTTGGGCCTAGTTTACTCATTACTGGAATGAACATTTTAATGATAATGTTCGCCCATATGCTTTGTTTTGGTAATTGCAGAAACAACTTCTTCAGTGTCAAAGTAACTTTCATAATTTGTCTTTGGTCTGTTTCAGGGACTGGGGAATCTGTGGTCCTCCAGATTATGTTGCACTCCAATTTCCATCCACCTCAACCGGAAGGACCAACCCTCCCATCAGGTGAATTGAAGACTACACCTCAAGCAGTGGAGTAGAAGTGGTGAACTGTGCTGCTCCCCCAGCAGATGCTGCGGTCACTGAAACTCCCATCAGCCAGAGCCAGGCGATGGGTAGGGGGATGAATGGACTCCTGTAGGAGCCATGCCAGCTGCTGCTTCTGGCCGTGCGGCTCTCCAGGAGCTGCCATGGCAGCGATGGTAAAGGCAAGGGGAAGGGCATGATGAAGTTTGGGGGAAGGGCGAGGATTCACGCAGCAAGTGGGCAGGGGGGCTTGCAACACAGGAAAGGGGAGGGCTGGGTGGGGAGGTGGCAGCACCAGTGCATGGCTCTCATACCTCTTGTGGCTGGAAAGCTTGCTCTGGCCCATCAACCAGTCTGACCAATGGTAAGAGAAGCTGGGAGCACCAGCTGGAGGGTTTCCTAGCCCTGGAATATCTCTTTGGTGTATTTCCTATGTTCATCTCATATAATATTGAACATTTTGCTCCATTTTGCTCCATGAAGCAAAATGAACAAAACATGGTAAAAAGAGATAATATAGCAATGATATTAATCAAAGATGCTTTGATGGCAACCCTATGCCCACTTGCCTGGGAGTAAGATCCGATGAGATCAATAGGATTTCCTTGTGAGTAGAGGCTTTAAGAGGAACCAAAATGGACCATAACTGCGTACCTAATGGACCCCAGATTGGTGGATCCCAAGATTCTAACAAAAAATAATGAAAACATTGTTGGGGTGTCACTGGCCAGGTGGAAGCCTGATTTAGTCTTAGTATTTGGGAAATCTATTTCATAAATGCCTGGACAGCACAAGCTACTTGGAAGTAGTTTGTGGCAGCATTCATAGCACCAGAGGAAGATAAAACATCCACCCTTAGATGCTTTATGTAGGATCACCTGGCGATCAGACACAGGTCTGGTATCTACCAGCTTCATCACTCACCTTGCCCAAGGAGCCATCTTGGTGGCCAGGCTCTGGCTGATACAAAATCCAGCTCCTCCAGTAGCAAACCAAAAATACACCAGTTTCTGACAAGAGAAAAATGTGTCTGGATTACAATAAGACAGAGATGAGCAGGTGGTAGATCAGGATGCACTGATCCACAGGGAAGCTGTATCAGATCTTTTCCATGTTCCTGGTCCTTAGTGCTATGTTGCACTTGACTCTGCCTGGCGTGACCTAAATTCTACCTTTCTCTGCAATATGACACCGACTTCTGAAAAGAGAAAGCGGGCCATAAACCACACATGAGAATAATACATGGCACCATATGACTTTATCTCTGTCCAGATAGGGACATAATTTAAATATCAGCCAAAGCTGATAAAAGACATCCCGTGCTATTGAGTCCATCTCTGCCTCCAGTGGCAATACTGGATCCAAGAGCACACCAAAACTGCAAACCTGACCCTTTATGGGCATGTAACCCACCTGCCTCCACCCCAGAACAGTTTAAACATCACTTAGCCAGGGCAATATACTACCCACAACAGTACCTCTGTCTATTACTGTGCCCAAGCACTGATTCAGAAGCTCTGCCCCTCTTTTACAGAGACAGAGCTGGGTGTCATATGCATATTGATGGCACTTCGCTGCACACTTACAGATCTGCCCACAGTTTCATGTAGGTGTCGAAGAGCATCAACAACGGGACCCCATGGAACCCCGCAGTATAGTTGCCAAAGCAGAGAGCAATCATCAGCCATCCCGTGCAAATGGAAATACTGCCTCCAGTTTCCAACCCATTCTGCATATCCAGTAGGAAGCCACAATCAACGGTGTTGAAGGCTGCTGAGAAGTCCAGGATAATCAACATGGACACACTCCCACTGACCTTCTCTCAGCAAAGGGCATCCTGCGGGGTGACTAAGGCAGTCTCTATTCCAAACCCAAACCTGAAGCCGAATTAAAATGGATCTAAATCAGGGGTCTCAAACTCAACTTCCCTGGGGGCCGCTGGAAGTAGAGTCGGGGTGAGGCTGGGCCGCATCAAGTATTCCACCACCGCGGTGGTAGTGGGCTGCTCATCCCGCGGCCGGCCCGGGCGCCGCCGGCCGGCGCTTTGAAGGCCTCAGGGGCCCTCCCCCGTGCCCTGCCCATCCCAGCGGGCCGCGAGTTTGAGACCCCTGATCTAAATAATCAGTTTCATTCAGGACAGCCTGGAGTTGACCAGCAGCCACTCACTCAAACACATTGCCCAGGAATGGGGCGTTGGCTATTGGCCTATGGCTGTTAACATTATCTGGGTCCATGTTAGGCTTTTTCTGGAGAGGCCTAATTACCACTTCCTTTAAAGAAGCTGGCACTTCTCTTGAGGAGGATTTTACAGCCACTTAGACCCAACTGGATATCCCTTCGCTATTAGATGAGTAAGCCAAGAAGGCAAGGGTCAAATACACAGTTAGCCAGACTTGGCCAAGCACTTAGTCTGTGTCCTTGGGCCTCAAGAACCAAAATTCATCCAATAAAACCAGACCAGATGGTACTCTGGGCATTGCTGCTAATGGAACTGTATTATGGTGTCAGATTCATGTTTGAGCAACTTGAGCCTCAGAGTGTCATGCAAACTTGTCACCAAAGGATGCGCTACTAAAGGTTTCTCTCCCTAACCCGGATTGCAGCAGGCCATGAATCACTCAGAAAAGTTCTGCTGGACAACAAAAAGATGCAATATTGGTGAGAAGGACTTCTTTTTTGCCACCATCACCACCACAGAACAGGCTGAATATAAGCTCTAGCCTGTGCTCAGTCAAACTCAGCACAAGTTTTCCTCCACTTGTGTTCCAGCCATCTTCCTGCTTGTTTCCCTTTCCTCTGATCAGGCATATATCAAGGAGCTAACTGGGCCCTGCTCAGAGGAAGAATGTGCTTAGGCCAGAGTCATCTCTGCATTCCACAGAGTGACCTCGGCTTCTCTAAAAGCCCCAGTCATACCAGCAGGAAAATCCCCCAGAGCCCTCTGGAGTAGCCTCAGTCAGCGCAGCATTTTAATAGGTCCCCCACCGTTGTGTGGGAAAGGCTGCTGGGGCTGTAAGCTCAGTAGGAAATGCCCTGGGCCTGTCAATAGGACTGATGTTCATTCCCCCACTTTCAGATCACCATCATCCTGCCCAGTTGAGAAAACCAAATGAAGCATGTGTTGGGCTGATGATATACAGAGAGAGCCCCATGGTGGCCATGACATGCTCCGAATCCAGCAGCCTCAGCATGGAAGCTGAGTTCCTCCGGAAGCATCATTCTAGGGTTCCATGCCACCAAATCCAAGGCAACCTTGTCAACTCAAGCAGGGACGCTGATGGTTAACAAGGTAGGTGGTGCACCAGCAGATGCCTCAGTCCCATGTACCCAACACAAGAGACAAGCACTCGAGGTCAGTGCTGAACTGGACAGGGAGCCCTTGGAGAAAGGGAATTCCTGCACCTCCCCTTCCCACCACCAGGTCCCAGTAACACATGCCAGGTCACTCCTGTCATCTCCAACGAAATGATGGCTGAGGGAGATTTTGCTTTGGACTGACCTGGACTTCAGCAGCACTAGTAGTAGATCCCTGGCCCTCACTGCAGCACCGAACAAGAAGCAGGTGAATGTAGGCAATTGCTCTTCTGTTATCCAACTGCTGCTCTCCTCCACTGTGCAATGCTGGGGCTTATTAAGCTAAATGGTTGTGAACTGCCCACCTGTGCTGGGATGTGTGTCTTTCCTCAAGCAAGCAGGCAAGACTGCAGAGGCAAAATATTAAAAGTATATCTTTGCCAGCAATGTTGCAGTTGCCCAAAATGTTCTCGCCAGTGATGCCACAGAATTAGAGCCAAAGGCCAAGCGCCATTTGGCTGTTGCCCTCTGGCTTGTGCCAAAGTCTTGCACCTTGGCCAGGAGCAGCCTGTAAGTGGAGGAAAGGAGGTAGACATCCAAAGCCAAGTCTTTCAGGTGGGAAATAGGGCTTCTCTCCAGCAGGTTGCATTCCTACCCCCACCAAAAAAGCAAGATCTACTGCCTTTTCCCCATTTGCTGAAGAGCTATGCTGTACTCCATCTATGTTGCTATGTCTCTCCTCCCTGACACAATGGGACCACTTGAAACAAAGGAATAAATCAACTTTTTAAATACTCATGTAGAAGCCAACTCCTCACTGACTTTAATATTCCCAGGCTGTCAACCTTACTTAGTCCTGCCTGGATAAGAACTTGACTTACTGTCTGGTTGTTAGGCATGTTTTCAGAGGCGTGAATTGGCCTATTCAAGCTGGGCTTCCCGATATAAACATCCTGCTCTGGAGAATAAGAAGACAAGAGCTTCAGCAAAGCCTGGGGGTTTAGGTAATTATCATCATCAAGGTGGCAAAACCAGCTGGAAAAAAATAGAGGGAGATAACTGATAAATTCAAGAAGGGGATATTAGTTCCGTTGTACTGCTGTTGCCAGCTTTGAACAACCTTTGATCTCCATCCTACCAGTTAAATTGAGGCTATATTTAATCTATCCTTGCTGCATATATGTTGCTGTTCTCTAGGGCCAAAGCAGATGTTTTGTAAATACATAGCATGCATCTACCTAACTGGTTCTTCTTCAGTTAATTTAGTAATTGGTCCTGAGATGCCTTATTGGTGATTGCTAAAATTATTTATATTGTATAAACAATATGTTGTGTATATTGTGTTTACTGTCCATATAAATGGACAAATGCAAATTGCTTGCATGTAAATAGTTTTCCTATTGTGTACAAAATTGTATTTTAAAGGTTCTACATCTTTGTAACCCAGCTAGAGAGTTCTGACTTTTGGGTGGTATAGATATGAAATGCAATGAAATTACAAGCACACACCGGGGTGAGATGGTGTTAATGCTTATCAGAAATAACATACAAGGATGAGGGAAGTTTTACATATTTAGTTCCAGTACAATTGGAGTCTAAATCACACACAGAGAGCAAGAATGCAGGAAAATACATTTGTATTGTCTTTCAGAAAGCTAAGCCTAGCATTCATGATGTCAATGCACTATCTGGAAGAAACTAAAAAGAGATTCATGGTAATTTTCATCAGGTAGACCCAGCTCCCCAAACTGTGCATTTTGCATGAGTCCAGATAGCCTCCATTTGCAATGCCCTAGTAGGACATTTTGGAGGGGCAGTTTGACTGTTAGTCCAACAGTGGAGCAAGTATTCATATGTATTGACACCATTCATATGCCAACAAATAATTCAAACTGCTATGAGTCTCACTCTTCATATCTCCCAATTCAGGTAAGTGTTTGCTTACCTTAAGCCGCTAGCTAAAAATGCGTCAAACTCAGCTGCCATTTTGCAGGAAAGTGCCGGGTGGCTGTGCTCAGGAGAACAGTTTGTGACAATCACGTGATTGCCTAATGGGAAAAGAAGCAGTGTTCTGGTTACAGTGGCCATGTGCCCTAAAGTACAGAGGACTGTACTCTATTAGGAGAGCTGTTGATCTTCTACTGGAAGGTATTCTTTATCTGAAAGATATCCAGTCTAAGTCTGGTTTAAGGAGGGCTGAGACCAGATCACCTGTATGCTCTCTCAGTCATATACAAATTGTTAATGCGCAGCTGCAGACCCCCTGTTCTCCCACCTCATGGTTCTTGAGAAGGGAGAGCAGACCTTGAAATACCCCATCTAGAACATCTTACCAGTCACCATGTGTTACCTGGTCACAGCTTTCCTCATCATCGTAAAATGTATTAGATTTTTATTTTAAGTTACAGTAATTATTTCTATACCTGAATTTAGCCATGTGCATGAACATATGCAAATTATATTCAAATAAGTGGTACAGCATTTCCTATTTTTTGGTGATGCATATATGGCCAAACTACTGTGGATAAGCATGTAAACATATCCTAACTTACTGAATCATCTTAAACATAAGGACTTTAAGCTCTCAGTGGAATGAGGAAAGGAGAAATTTAGGGCTTTCCCAGACAGCCAACCAATGGAAGGCCAAACTGCATTTGAGTGCCACATATCTCCAGGTCTTCCACAACAGAATACCAGTGACAGCTAAAGATGGCTTGTTAGTTAGACCAAGGGTGAGAAACCACTTTTGGTCTGAAGAAAGAATGACCCCGGCCTGGAACATCAGGAGCAACATAACAGCAATGGATGGACTCACCCCCCGCCCCACTGCCACACACACCCCCATGATCCTAACCATGTGAGTATTTGAATAAGGCTAAGGAGACCATGGCTCTAAAGCAGGGATGAAGCCCTTGTGGCCATCCAAATATTTTGGCCTAGAACTCCCATCAGCCAAAAGCAGCATGCTCAACAAAGAGAGAGTATTGGAAGTTTCCACCACTGTTGTGCAGAGTGCACACCTACAGGAGTAAGCAAAAGTAAGCATTATCACAGTGGCTCTCTGCCCAATGCAAAGAAACTAGTTGTTTCCATAGGGGTCACAGTGCTGGAGCATTTTTGTCCTACTTTACAGAAGATTGCTCTGTGTTTGAAGGGCTGACAGTCGGCAGTCCTCTACCTGAAGGTCCGTCCAGTCCAAGTCCACTTTAGAGATAAAGAACTATAAGAAGAGGGAGCTAACATGTCCTGCCAAGTCACCCATCCACAATCAGCACCTGGACAGCAGACAGGGCAGGCCCGCAGCTCACCTGTCCATAGTCTACCCATTGTGGTGAGATGGCCAATACTTCTAGTTAAATTGGTGCCATTTTCTAAACTAGCACATATATTTGCATATGAAAATTTTATGTAAATTGTATCCTTCCTTCCCTACTTGTGCAGCCACCATAATCCACTCAGAGGCCTTAGATACATGCTTCTGAGCAGGAGTTGATGGGATCCCTCTCCCTCTCCCTCTCCCTTCCTCCCTTTTTAATTTCACCAAAAAAGCTAGGATGTATACAGGGAAATTGAAGTAATAATTCAGAACTTTAGTTTAACTTTTATGCAGTGTGTAACATAGATTTTTTTTAAAAAAAAATGTTGTTGAACACTCTATAAAATTATTGATTGCAAAGACAGGCAGGGAGTGTTCCCTCAGGAATATGTTGTGTTTTTCTAAAGGAGTCAGAAATTACACGGTCAGGGTGCTGAGGGGCAGGCAAGGAGCTGTAATGTGGCCATCATTCTTCTCCAGGCATGACTTAAGAAGTGCTGATGACACTTGCCCAATTACCTTATGCACAGTAATCGCATTAGTAATGATGACACTAGCCAGGAGAAGAATCTCATTTTCTCAGCAACAAGAGACTGAGCTTCTGAGCACTGGGCAATGAGGTACGTCCTCAACAGAAGCACCGTCTAGCAGCTCCTGCACCAAATGCGTAGACTGGAAGAGCCCTGCTGGGTCACGCAACAGGTGTCTGAAGGCCCGCGTTCTCTTGTGGACAGCCAGCTGAGTGCCGGAGGCCCAGAAGCAGGACTGAGTGCAGTAGTACTCTCCCACCCATGTTCCCCACCACGGGGGCATGCAGGAGTACTGCCTCCAGTACTGGAGAGAACATACTGTCTCCATGACTGCTTGGCAGGAAAAGCCTTATTCCCCCATTACTTTGTCCCCTTTTAAAGATGTCCAAATTGGTGGCCATCATGACTTCTTGTGCAAGTAAATGCCACAGTGGAAATATATACAGTGTGAAGGACTTGGTTTTTTGTTGCTGTTGTTTTGTTGTTTTGTTTTGTCCTGAATCTTGCAACACTCAGCTTCATGGGATGACCCCAGGGTATAGTTTCCCGACAGCTGAGGGAAAATATCTCCATATTTATTTTCTCCATACTATGTAATTTGTACACCTTCATTATTTCCCCCTTATTCACCATTTTTCCTGGGTTAAAGAGCCCAAACATTATCAACTTTTCTCACAAGGTTTGCTCCAATCCCCTGATCATTTTGGTTGCCATTTTCTGCATATTTACCAGCTTAATTATGCATTTTAAATACTCCCAAGATTACCTGCCAATTTAAAATGTTTCTTTTTAAAATCAGTACAGTACTTAACCTCATATAGGTATGACTTCTATTTATCAAACATGTATTCTTTGTTTCATAAATACAGATTTCCTTCATTTTGGCTGTTCTGGGGCAGGGTAGCCATCAATGGAAATTTTCTGGAGAACTGTACAAGACATGATAAATGAAATTACTGGTTATTTGGTATGTGAAGATCCAAAAATAGTTTTGTTATGTTACCTTAAGGGCTTTGTCCATGAAACAGATTTGGATTGAAACTGGTGATAAATCTTTGTGCAGCCAATATATAGCAGCTAATTGGAGAGGAAAAAGCAGTAACACTCAGTTTCTGACTGGTATTGTAAGATCTGAATCACTGTACTCATGTCTAAATTAACTCATTACGAAAGGACTCAGGAGGGTATTCAGTCAGATAGATTTATTGAAAGATGGATAGGATGGTATAAGCTTTCAGGATAGGATCATAGGAAAGAAATTACACTTTCTTTCTATGATGTAATGAAAATATATCCTGCCTTACTCCTTTTCTTTATCATTATAGCTTTCTTTGTATTTTGCATTTTAAATAAATTAGCAATAATAATGAATACATGAGATAAACAACCAACCCTGAACTGAATCTTAACAGAACCAGACTAATTTGTTGTGAATTGCTCATCTTCAGACTAAGTAAATCTGCACAGATTTGCTTCTATACTTCATTCTGCTTGTGCTCATTATTAGGAATGGAAAATGTTGTGCTGTGAAATGAAACCCATTTCCTCATCACTGGAAATTTTGATAGGGTCCCTACGCTTATCTATTCTGCCTGCTGCGATTTCATTGCATATATATTTTTGTCAGAACTTACCCTTATAGCCTTAAGGGCTAGAAACTCACTTTTCTATATAAAACAAAATCCGTGATTTTTCAAGATGCTAAATTCTGTGCCCAATATTAAATGTCACCTGTTTTCAGAATACTGTTCTGGTTTCCTGTTTTTCTGAGCAATGAGAAGTATCATGGCGCAACACTTACCCAAGTTTGGTTACCTTTCAAAGGAGGTCATGGGAGAACTTAAGGACATTTTGTGAGATTTGACTTTACTTACAAATATACTGAGCATAGGTCAAGGCCAGCTACAGTGGCCACTTATGCATCACCAAAATGAAATGAAACAAAATGCCTACCCAAACAACAGGGCAAAAAAGGACATAATTGTACATTAAAGGGGGAATATATGCACAATTCAAAAGCACTGGAGTAATTTATGCAGAAATATAATGCACCTCACTGGAGTGGGAAAGCCTGTGATCGGGTGAACTGTATGCTAGCACAGTCTGTTGTTCATGCACAGGAAATTTCAAGACCTCAAATGTGCTTGTTCACCTTACCAAAGTTCATTCTTTTTAAACTAAACTTGAACCACACCACCCATCAAATAGAGAACTAACTATCCAGGGTTATTAACACTCCTTTGGCAAGTCCACGACCCTGGCCAGATATTCCCTTAAGGCAGACCCTCCCTGATACGCTGAGAAATCTGTCAGCAAAATCCAAAGCCAACCCTGTATAGAAAATTAGATCTGGCTCTTGGTCAGAAATGTAGGAAACTGCTGTGGTTCCCCCTAGCTCCTGAGTATCTGCCCCAGGGTGGACAGCCTGGAGATCTCCAGATGTCTGAGATTTCTCCCAGTATACCCAGTGGCCAGAATTTCTGGGAATAGAAGTCCAGAGTATCTGGAGAGCTAAACTGACCGGTAGCATCTCTCCAAGATTTCAGTCACAGATCTTCAGCAACCCAAATTGTAGATTCCAGGACTGAACCTGGAAACGTCTGCATATAAAGCATATCCTCAACCACCAAACGGACCTTTCCCCAAGATTAGCTATATAAGGACACTTTTAACAAAGGAGGATTTCCAATACACAGCACAGAAAAGTCAGTTAGCAGGTGTTGTGCAATGGTAAAGGTTAGATTACCCAGTCTTTCCTGCAGCTCATCATCTTCTTTATCTGTGAAGACATATGTCTGACAAAAAGAAGAGAAAGGGGTTACTCCGGTGTCTAAAAGTTGCTGTTTCCACATGTGACATCCAGTGACAAGCCACACAATTCCTTCAGCTATGCATAATCTGAGATGCATTATTACTAAACATTGTACGGCATGAGGTGCTTCCAACACTCTGAATGTGTTTTCATCTGTACAAATGGAATAATGATGCCCCCATCTCACAGGGATGCTGCAAAAATAAAAGTTGTAGCGAGTTCAGATATTTTTAAAGTGGAACATGATAACTGAAAATGAGCATCTGCCCCAGCTTTTTTACATAGAAAGAGATAAACTCCTCCTAGATTAGCCCCTTTTTATCTTTAAATCTTGTTCTCTGATGGCTTGTACATTCCAATTTCAAATGTTTTGAGACTCTTTTTTTAATTAACATGAGTTCTCCCCCCGCCAAAAAAAAATCCTATTGTGGTCTTGAGAGGGAGTTGACTATTGTCCACAGCAGCCCCCTATTTCTTCAGCAACCACTGTCTCCTGGTGGGGGGACTGACCTGGGTCCATTGCCCATTCAGTATGTTTGAAATGGTTTTGGAAACATGTCTATAAACCCAAGTCCCTATCACACATTCATAAGGTACTGAACTGCAGAAAAAGCAGAAACTTTGTGGCGAAAGGAAGCTAGAGTTCAGAAAAGAACATCTGCTTGTGTGTAAAAGATCTATAAGCTCCCTGCTGTTTCTCAGCCCTCCTCCTCTTCCCCCAATGCTTCCCAACTCCTCTTAACAACATTGTGTGGCATGTTCTCCCATCCCAAGGGCAAGAGTGGGGATCACGTCCAGCAAAGAATAGCTCCTCTCAAGCGGAAAATGGGCTTTCAAGGAGCCAAGGGGACTGAAAGAGAGAGACACACGAGCCTTAAACAATCTCCCCACCAGCTGCCTGCAGGCTGGTTAAACACTGCGCTTGCATTATGTATTGAAAAGGGGAAAGTCATTCAGACAGTGGCCCGGCATGGCACGTGGGCCTCCCCTGGGTCTGACCGTGGCAAGGCCTTTTCATGCATCCAGCCTGGGTATTATTGTGGGTCTGTTCCCAGAAGAAGAAAGGCCTGGGACAGCTATAAAGGTGAGGAAACAAAAAGTAACCAGAACCATGTGAGGCAGAAAAATGCCCAGCGCTTGGAAGAGGATGGAGCTGGCTAGGCAAATATGGCGGGTTTGCTCGATGCCTGTGCTAATTGGGGATGTGAATCGCGAAATCATCAGGCAATCAGAGGTGTGCCTGCTTCTGAAGGGGTGTTCAATGCTGAGGTCCTGAAGGCCTATTTCACTCAGGACTCCAGGCAATCGAGTCTGCCACAGAGCCCTCACAAGTGTTCCTGCATGGAAATATGTCTCTGCAAATTTGTTTTGTCGTGGCTACGCTTCACTGTTTTATGCCTACACCTAAATGTATTACGTGAGAAAGCCCACAAGTAATGTGTTTTGGAAAGCCAGTATTTCTTTTGCCTCTGGTCTCATGACCATTGCTACACACACACACACATAGACACACACACACAAAACTAGCATGGCCGCATACATGTAACCAAAATAAGAGGAAACACATCTTGGAACAATATTCCATATGCAAATGTATCTGTATAGATGCACTTTTAGACATCATTCCTGTAACTGAAATAGAAATATAATCTATCTCACCAAAGGACAGGCTAAGCGGCCCAGCTCTCTACTTTGTTCCGGTAGGCAGGCGGTTTCCAGGCCTTGCTGGTTCTTCCCCCTTAGAGTTCTTTGACCTCAAACCAGGCTTGGTCTGGACAGCCCATCAAATAGAGGAAGCCTCCAAATAGATCATTATCCTCTGACAGCTCTCCAAAATTATTTGCAGTAAAACAGAACACCTTCCCACCTGCATGTTCATCCAGTCTTTGTTGGCTGGACAGCCATCTGAGAGGGATGGTTTAACTTGGTGCACTGAGCTTGGTTGGACCCTCTGGCTTCTGGCCCCTTCCAACTCTGCTATTCTATAACTCTGAGTTAAGGCAGATACCATTCGTTCAACGTCGTGACCATTTTCAGCCAGTCTTGGAACCATTCCTGATCACTCGCTCTTCACCCTGACTGGTTGCTCTTTTGGAGACTGATTGTTCTTCTGCAGATGTGACAGTTCACACCCTATAACCAGGGGCACCATCTATAGGTGATCAATCTACATAATATTCATAAGAAACCCTGGGGGGAGCCCTGAACAAGAGGTATGTGGGACCAGTTTGGCCAAAGGGAATAAGCTCACTGGAAAGAAAGCTACATCTTCATCAGGAATCCCCCAAACCATTCAGCGAACTAAAGCTGGATGTTTTGAGAAAGTGCCCACCCTGTTCTGCATTCCTCCCTCTCTTATTATCTGCCTGCTTCAGATCAATGTGGTTTCCTCCCTCAATTTGATTTGAGGTTCACTAAGAAACACTGCTGCTTCTTTTCCTGGGTAAAATAAAATGACAGATGAGCAGGATCAGCAGCAGCATAATGAACAGTGGAAGGGATAGAATACCCGAGCATTTGAATTCGTGGTGGCAGGGCTTCACGCAACATCTGCTTAGCACAGGGACTTTGAGCCTCAGGCCCAAGGGCCACAGTTCTGTGTGCCTGCGGGTCAAAATGCGTTACAACTTTTGGGCCCTCTGGGGTCCCAACAATCCTACATTCTTTGCCTCAACCACCAATTATTTGGTGACTGCTGGCTTTGGCATTTACTTTCCCCATGCTAGAAGGTTGACATAGTTTCCCCAAGGCTTACTTATTGGCAGGAAGATCTGTAAGCTACAATATGATATTTTAGGGATATGGGCCCAGCTCTTTTGCTTTCAGGAACACGATCCCCTCCCAAAAATATGCTTGTCTGAAATAGAATTTGAGCCCTGGGCTGAAAGGGATTCTGCACTAGACCCTAGAGCAAGGCCACTAAACCTCGGGTTAGTCATCATCTCCCAGTCTCACCTACCTCACGGAGTTGCTGTGAAGAAAAAATTGGTGGGAAGCCATGAATGGAGCCCTTAGATCCTTGGAGAAAGAGCACGACAAAAATGAAATAATTCAGCAAGTGCATCTAAAATCCCCTGCAAACAAAACAAAAAGTGCTTCCAGATTTGTCCTTAGTAGAAAATCATTCCTTGGTGCAATTCTACATAGAAAGCATTAAATTCTTCCAGATAAACTTTGGCCTCTGGCTTCAAGACTAGGAAAGACTGAGGCTATGCAGCCCTCCCTCTCACCTTCATACCAACCTGTTCTTTGACCCGGGATATCCAGGTATCCAGCAATAATCCCATCCTGGTCTGGTGGAACTTCCAAGTTGTCTTTACAGCAAAGAAGAGTTCCTCAAGCAACAGGCCTTTTCCAATACTGGAATGCGCTGTGAGGGTCTTGAGCTTTTCATGCTTTGGCTTCCTGGTGCTATTGAGGTCCATCGTATCCACCGATGTCCTCTCATGCTGTGCCCATCTATGAAAGGGTTGCCCTGCAAGACTATGGTCATTGACGTCCTTTTGGATGACATAATGCCTCATGGAGAGGAGTGCTGTGCTCACAAGAAGGAAAGCAACTCCAGAGAAGGCCCGGATGAGACACTGGTTCATTGCTCCTGCTTTTGATCCCAGGGCGAGGAAATTGAGGGTGTCCCCAATTCTCCCTTCATGCTTCAGTGCCTGCAGTGCTAGTTCAGTTCTATACCTTCACCCTGAAAGGAAAACGGCATTAAGCAAAGAGACAAGCAAAGAGATCCTGTCAAGAAATGCTCCCGGAATGCAAGAGGAGGAGTCCTGAGTGGGACGTTGAGGTTCTTAAAGCTGAAATTATCAAAGAGTTCTGTCTCACACTAACCCCCCACCCACTCCCCATTCACACCTAAGGCTATAGGGAAGCCTCCAGGGTAGACACCATAGCTAGGAAGACCTGATTTTCCAGATAGCCAAGGACAGCTGACAGATACCTTGTTGGTTGCAGGTAAGAGGACCATGAAGTCTAATAACCAAAAAAGACCCAGGAGCAGACCCAGCTGGCAACTGAAGGGTCCACCATGGCGAAAAGAGCCCATCTCAATGGCAGGTCAGGGAGTACCCAGGTTTCTAAAGGAAAGACCCCAAGTAATGGCCTCTGTTTTCCAGTCAGAAGTGCAAAATGCCTAAAATGCAAGGCTGTTTGCCTGCCAGGCTACACAGCAACAACAGGGTAAAAGAAAGGCAGGGCAGAAGAGGGAAGTGCTCTCTTCCGATCCCACCAGCTGTCTGATGCCGACCCCTCCCTCCTTGCTGCTTGCTCCACTTTGGCTGCAGGCAGCAAACTCCACCCAGCTCCTTTTATGGATGAAACAAGGCTTGGTTAGTCTTCCGGTGTCCCAAGGGAAATGTCCCATCTAACAGCCATCTGCTTGCCCACCTGCCTCCGTTCCCAGCTGCCACCCTCTGGCTAGTTTTGTAAAACAGCAAAAAGTACCCTCTCCCTCCCTCCCCCCTCCTCCCCCCACCCCCTTCTGTGTGTGGTTGTGGTGGTCATGTCCTGGCATGTTACAGGTTTGAAACATGATACTCTCAGAAATGACAAAGCGTATGGGTCAGTCCCTAAGTCTCACATCAGCATTCAGTTCTACTAGCAATATGGAAAGAACAAAATGCCAAAGTGACGTGGAAGGAATTAATCATGTTCGTGCTGATGGCAGCATGCAGGATAAAAGCTGGAGGACTGCAGAACTCTTAACACTGACGTCTTGGTCCATGAACCTATGGCAAATCGCCATGGCGGAAAAATGAACTCACCAAATGCAATTAGCTAAGACAAGGTCAAATCTAGTTGAAGTTTATAAAACATGAAGCAATTTTATTATATGCAGGAAACAGGGACATTCTCAGCATTGCAAAAACTTTTTCTCAGATTATGTGAAAGAAATATCATCCTGATGATGATGATGATGATGATAAACTATAATGGAAACTTCATTACAGCTAGTGGAATTCATCTATATGTTTGACTGTAAAGGAAAGGCAGGGGGTACATAAAATGTACTATCCTCTGTCAACAATGAGATTTGAATTCGATGTATTTGTGATTGTGAATTTTAAAAATTAAATGAGAGACTTCAAATTCTCACCAATTAAAAAAAATGAAGAGATATTGCATTAGATTGATTTCCCAGGTTGGGTTCTCTTCTAAAAAAGTATGCCGTCTAACCAAAGATCAATTAATGCAAATTAATTTTGTTTAACTTGAAAGCTGCAACTGTATGCAGAAACAATGAAGAGAATAAAACATAGGAAGTTTCCTGCCCCTGTTCCTGCATTACAACCTAAACTGAGTTTTCCTGTAAAACATAACTAGGATATCATACCTTATCAAGAATAATATACTATCCAGAAGCAATCTAGGTCTGATAAGTTAAGAACCAGCAAATCCCAGTTCCCTATTTGTATACCTGTATGATGGTGCTTGCAAGCGTGTGTCTTCCATAGCACTCATGCTTAGGTATATATTTAAATCAAATTTCCCCAAAGTTGCCACTTCCAGACATGTTGTGACTGAAATTCCCACTCTGATTTTGTTATTCCCACCAAAGCAGCTATAGGTTCTCCCAATTCAGTAGGTCACACCAGCAGGGGGATAATGAGATCCCTTCCCAGTGGCCACCATGTCGTTCCCCTGAAGCCATGTGAGCAGGATGATACATAATGATGCAGGACTGTTCCCAGATGAATTTATTGCTGGACGTGGGGAGGGAAAAGGCAAGTGTCCGACAGAGCGTTCATTGTTGCTGCTACTCTGAAGCGGAGGAGACAGGGAAGTTCTAAATGCAGCATTTTCTAAATGCTGCAAGAGCACCTTATGGATGGGCTTTCTGTCTCTGTGGCGTTCCGCAGTAAGTAATAATCCACAGAAAGAATGAGCAGCATCTGGCAATCCTAGATTAGCAAGGAAAGAGACTCATGCATGCATGCATGCGTGCACACACGCGCACTCTTGCACTCCCATTTTTAATGTGTGCTTCATAGACTGATTGAAGCAAGCTGACCTCCTCCTACTTTTGGGAAGTGAAACTTACCAAGCTCCCCTCCCCTATTTTTAAAGACCTTCCCATAAGGGACAGTCATTCATTCCAAGTAGATCACACAGCTCTGCGTTTTATGCACATTCCTCTCTTTGTTACGTGCTTTGATGAGCAGTGACCTAATTAAAAATGTTGCCTTTCAGAATATTATCAATGGCATCTCAAAGGGAAGATATGTGCAGTTTTATTGCTTGACCTAGATTTTTATGTTCCCTTTCAGCCTTTAATTCCCTTTCAGCTTCCCCACTGTGATCATGCCCAGCTATGCAATCCTAGCCATCTATCCTTCAGCTGAAATCCTACAAGAATGTTGTCACTGAACCTCAACTTCACGAACTGCTTGCAACTCTGCTGGTCTCAAAAGCAAGACAAAGAAATTAACATCTGCAAATCATGCAGCCTTTCTGTAGATTCTTGCACAACCTCTACCATATGAGCAGAATTCTCCTGCTTGCTGGGCTGGGGGGACCAGGAATGGGATGGGAGATTGTGCATGAAGTGGGTCATTTCTGCATGCTCCCTCCCCTGAGATAAACTGTTGCCACGTACAACTTACAAACAGGCAAGTGTCAAGCTTGAGGAGGGGGGGGCAAATTTAGTGCTGGTGATGCAGTGGTACAGTAGGCCCTTCACGTTTGTGGGGGTTAGGGGCACAGGACCCCTGCAAAAGCAGAAAAACCAAGTATCTCTACCCTTCCCCCCAAACCTTAACTCTTGACCATGCATGTACTGGATTGCTTCTCCCTCTCCCTCTCTCAGACCTTGGTCTGATCCGGCAGGGCTCCTCTTCTTCACTTACTACATTCTTATGTTCTTATTCCCCACTCTCCCTTTCACTCACCAATGCCTCCTATTTGCACCAAGGAAAAGCCAGAGTTTCCCCCTCCAAATGGGCAGGGCAAGAAGGCATGCTTCAGAGGCCCTCCCTCTCTCCCCTTTAATTTCTTCTCTCTCTGAGGTGATGACAATTTTCCACACTTGGCTGCAAAACTCCCAAATAATCTCATTCAATTACAAAGGGCAAACTCGTGAATAACCAAATCTGTGGAAGTCGAGGTTCAACTGTACTACCTGCCTGGGTAACACTAAGGCCTCCAAGGCTGCAGGCTGGCCACAGGTCCCCCACGTGCGAGATAGCCCAGCATGCTTTTGGCTGGCAGCAGCACTCTTTGGTCTCAGGCAGAGATTCTTCATTCACCTGCTACCTGATCCTTTTAATCAGAGATGCCAGGTACAGAATCTGGGTCACTGCCTATGAAAAAGGCAGGGTTTGGGGGGGGGGGGAGAGTTGTGGGGAGGGGATGAGAATGTTTAGTGTAAATGCTTATAATAGCTAAATACAGCAAGGAGAAACACTCCTCTCTGTGTCCCGTTGCCCTAAGTCTAGAAGATCTCTGGGTGATCAGCTGTAAAACCTTTTGCCACTATCTTCTCAGTTCTCCAAGGGATGGTCCTGTAACCCCTGGCTCTGGTAGCCCCCCCCCCCCCATGTTCTTGAAGTGTTTTTGCTCTTTGATTCATTCATCTTTGTGATGCACTTGAGATTAGGCCTTGGGAATTCTGTCTGCCCCTGTTGTTTTTGTTTCTTTCAAAAGTTTCTTACCTGTTCTTTACCGCAGATTCTATTTTGCCATTCCTTTGAGAATAGCCAGGTGATGAAGCACTTGTGTTCAAAATCCCCATTCTTGCAGCATTTCTGCAAATCTGCTACAGCAACCTATGATTGTTCTTCTCTCATGTTCATGCTTGGTTTTTTGTAAAATTATATGAATGGAAAGAAAAAAGTAGCTACATAAAATTGAATATATCACTTTCTAGTCATTCATATGAAAGATGTATGCGATAAAGAGAAACATGGCTTTCTAAAAATATACATAAACTTCAACAAAGCGGACCAAACATCCAAGCATGTATCCATTCACAGGTGGCATCTATACAACACCCATCTAAATGTTGAAAGCACTGTAAGGTCTTCAATCCTTGGCATTGTAGGAGCTAAATATTTATCCTTCCAATGTTTTAATATCAGCCTTTGAGTTGTCAAAAGGGCATGGAGAATCCATTTGCTGTGTGTGACCCTGTGTTAACTTTCAGGCAGCAGGTAAATTATTTAAAAGGACATGTATCTCAATAAATATTAAAGAGTGCTCCAATACAAAGTTTATCCATATAATAACTTCCTCCAAAACAGAAGCATCTTTTGGGAACTGGCAAAACTTATGGTAAAAGAAGCATTAGCTGTGTTACACCTCCAGCAACCAACCAACTTAGACAAACCCTTATTAAAGAGACACTGTAGCATCCAATTGGCAAGAGATTTTGCTGAATAAGCCATAACCTGAAATCCATAGAAACTTCTGATATAAGTGCTTAGGTGGCAAGCCACTGAAATTGGGACAATCAAGTTCCCTATGCCACTCCTATTTAAGACCCTATGTATCGCATTTGTTCACCAATAATAAACATTTAGAAACATGGATCATGGGTTGATGTAAGTGCTTAGTCTTAATAAGTGCTTCCAACAGCAAAGGGGACTCTGAA